AGATTCCATGCCAGCCGAGTCTGTAGAGTGCAGGACGTCGTATACATACAGTGATAGATCCAAGTAGCTTTATCACCAAGTCTACATCAAATACAAAAAGCATTACATCAAATGTTGTATCCATGGTTGTTTATATGAAGACATTATTTCTTGAAATACTTGAAGTACATCTCCATTCTAAAGACAACAAATGTTTCGTCTCCTCACCAGACTTCAAAGCAATCCAATATGGCAGCGGCTTTTGGTTTACGTTTGTCCAGCTCTTTGTTGAAAGATGTTTGGTCACCGAGACATGTTCATTCAGCTCATATGCCACTCAGCGCTAATGCTTGAACCAGTACTATGGTCACGGCTGAAATCGAACACAAGAAGCCACTCACTCACACTATACACACACACACACACCATACGACAATTTTTAACAAGACTAAACTGCTAAAGATGTCGTTTAGTATAATATCAAGTGAAACCTACAACCAAATTTTTAAAACTTGTTTCCTTTAAACAAGGGGATGCGGTGGCTGAGTGGTTAAGCGCTTGGCCTCCGAACCTGCGGTCCTGTGTTCGAATCTCGGTGAAGACAAGAATTTGAATTTCAGGAATTTTAGGGCGCCCCTCAGTCCACACAACCATAATGGGTACCTGACTTTAGTTGGGGAAAGTAAAGGCGGTTACTCGTTGTGCTGACCACATAACACTCTGCTCGTTAAAAAAAATACAGTTGACATTAACATCATATGCCATATAGATTACAAGGTCTCAGGGAAACTTTATTTTTTTCTTTATAAACAAAAAAATGTTCTCATCATTGTACTTTTTTTTGGGCGGAGCTCTAAACGGCAATCCATTGTTGTGTTACCTATCTGTCTGTCCGTCCGTCTGTATGTAACATTTTGATGCCAACAATTAAAAGCGTTATGAAAATCCGCGTTTACCATTGAATGTATCGTGTTCAAAATATTCACTGTGCTAAACGTCTTGTCAAACAAAATGTATATGATTTTAACATTGAAAATAGTAAATGTTACTTAAATATGTACACATCATTTGTAGAACAAGTTTTAAAGGTCTTGTATATAAAAAGTAAAGTGAACCGTAAGATACCAGAATATCTTTGTTGACTTCTAAAGTATTGAGATAAAAGAGGTAATAACATTTTCTTAGTTGACAAACGGATTTTACTTATGACATACAAACTGAAGCTAACATCGATTTCTTACAGTACACTAAGTGATCAAGTACAAGGTCATATAACATTACCCAAACTGAATAGCATCATTTCATGGAGGATGTGTAACACTAATAGTTTTTGGGATCAGACAATGGGAATGTCTAACATGTTTCATTTTTTCTTTTTTCTTTTAGCCAAGATTCTCAAACCCCGCAATCCGACTGCTTTGTAAACAAGTATACTAGCTAACTAGACATAGAGGAATGTGGAAAAGATAGATGCTAAAAACTACTATAAAATAAATCAGGAATGCTATTTATAGCCATAACTTTAATTTCATTATATTGTAGCCAACAAGTTCTACATATTTAATCAGCTCAGTCTGCTATTTCAGCATTTTATTCTAATCTCCAGTTTATTTATACCTTCTGTATGTAACACAAGCCAGTAACTTATGTGGTTAGTGAGCCTCATAACAAATACACAAGTAACAAACGCTGCATCTAGTGTGCTCTTAGAAGTTGCGTAGGTAGGTTTCGTAATACTATTCTGCGATGCACAGTAAATCATGGCTGGCGACAACTGCCCTACTAGCTACATCCTGGTCTCGAAAGGACGTTCAACTCTGTTTCCTTTGCACATAAACCTCCACCGTTCCCAATAACATAACCACTTTAACAGGATATCCCCGTTTGAGCTCGGGTGCTAGCTATAACATCGCTGACACGCCATGGGGAGACATTTTTCCTACCTGCTGAGAGAACCAGGCGCCCGGGAGTTGCGTCACCGGTAAACAAGCAGGGGCGAAGGTGAGAAGAGAAAAGGGCTTTGATCCAAAAGCGCAGGCATTTAGTCTTGACTTTTAAGCTGTACCACTTGAGGGGAAGCTATTGTAGAAATATTAGGGCAAAGATTTATTCACCTGGCAGTAATGTCTGCATCGAGATCTTCAATAAAGAGAATCTCAAAGTCACTACAAACGATTTTATATAATTTATTCTACAACTCTTTTTGAGCAAAATAACTTTACAATTAAGCTTTTAATGAACACATAGATCTAATTTGTTATGAAATACAAGGAAACGGCTGTGTGTCTTGTAGAAGTATGGATACGCGACACGTCTACTAACTACGGAATGTCCCTTGAATGTCCTCTTGAATTCTAATGATTTGTTGTTTTTTTTTAACTAAAAACATTATACTGATATGAATATTTTTGTTCTATATCTTACACAGAATGATGCGTACGTCTCAAAAAGAGAGCGACATTGTTCTGGCTCCTTTGAAGAGGTGATCCAATCATTTTGAAATAATTTCTTTTAGAAAGCTCATCAACATAACCCAAGGCTGCCTGAATACAAAACGATATTCATCCTGAATGACGTATTTCTAAACGTACGGAGCTACGATATGCCATTGTTAGTGGCTTCGTTTACATTGTGAGCGCCTAATTGTATTCCATTAATTGTACGGCTCTACCAAGCAATGATGTCCAACTACGAGATCGTCCAGCCCACAGGAACTGATAGGTCGCTTAACATCTCTCAGTACGACCACATCGGCAATGCGTCCGCCTCATGCGACGGCATACACTGCTACCCGGGGGTCATCTTCGAAGTGGCCACCATTATGACCATTGTCCTCGCCGTCTTCGGCGCCTTCGGGAACGTACTGACCATCCTGGCCATCGTGACCAGCCGACTGAAGATGAACGTCAACAGTATCCTGATCTGCAACCTGAGCGTGGCCGACGTAGTCTACTGCTCTTTCATTCTGCCCCTGCAGGCCATGACCTTTTATCACAAAGGTTGGACGCTGTCCGATCTACTGTGTCAGTTGCACGCCTCTCTACGGATCTGGCTTATTGGAGTCAATATGATGTTACTAAGTACCATTGCTTTTTACAGGTAAGTAGCAAGAGAGAATGCCATGGTCAGTGGTTCATTATATGTTGGTTTGGTCAGTAAAGCTAAAATTATTTCGAACTCTAAGAAAAAAATTGGTTAAGTGATAGGTGGATGTAGATGTGAATTCAATTCCAAATTGTAAAAATTTAGAGCACAATTGCAATATGTAAGTATCGATATGCATAATGAAATAGGAATGAGGCTAACAAAAAAATAATTGTATTTACAAATACACATATCTAATTAATTCTTCATCAACAAGTAACGAAATATTTATTTCAATTCAAATGGGAAATCGGTAATTGTGAAATAGTAATAGTAGAAAAATACTGATTTCAAAATGCTTTTCATCTTCATTTTACATTAAAGATATAGATTGGATTTCCACAAATTACTTTAAGTTTCTTTGTTCTTTCCAGATTCCTTCATGTGGTTCATCCCCAAAGTCATACTCGATACACACAGAGACCTTGGTTCATCGCGGCATGTGTCTTATGTTGGGCGCTGCCTTTTTTCTTCTGCATCACTCCGCTGATAGGGATCTGGGGAAGCTTTGACTTCCAGGAGCGCATCCTCCAGTGTACCTTCAGCACTAACAGCAGTAAGTCCCATAAAATTACAACCATCACAGCCGGCTACGTCGTGCCCTGCCTCTTCATCTGCGTCTGCTACGCCCGCCTGGGCTGCGTTGTCTGCACTTCCAGGCAGCGGGCGTCCAGGGGGAGCCAGTACCGCAGGCAAAGGGCGCGCAGAGAGTCTTTCAGACTGACGGGGATGATGCTGCTGATCTTTCTGGGGTTCCTCATAGGCACCACCCCATTTTTCATCATCAATACCGTGGACAACAGACTCAAATACCCCATGCCACACATCTGGTCGCCGTTCCTGGCTTGGATCATGTACAGCATGAACCCGGTCATCTACACCGTAATGGACGTCAACTTCCAGAGGGCCTACCATCGGCTACTACTGTGTATGATTTTCAAACCGGACAATGTAGTGGAGACTAGTGTGGCGGACAGACAGAGCTCATTGATAAAGGGAAAGCACGATCACCCTCCGCAATGAAATGGAAGGATTTTACATTAGAAACAGATATTGCTCTTAGAAAGATTTAGAGCTGCAACGACCACGTCGTACACTAAGCTTTAGAATATTCATAACACAAGTTCCTAGCCATCCATCAACTAAGCTTTAGAATACTAATAATGCAAGGTTCTTACCAGTCACTAAGCCTTATATTAGAGCATTCATAACGCAAGGAACTTGCAACCACCAAGCTTTAGAATACTCACAACACAAGGACCTTGCCGCCACTAAGCTTGAGAACATTTAAAACTCAGGATCCTTATCGCCCGCTGAGTTTTAGAAAAATTAAAACGCATGGACACGTGAGCCACTGAATTTAAAAGAAATGAATTCTACACACTGATGAATGTAATAGATTTGAAAATGAAACGAAAAACATGGGCATCAATATGTCTGCAGACAAAGTTTATTCAGGTAATAGAAACCAAATCAGAAGACAAGGGGGGAAACTAATCTAGAAGGAAGGGGGGAAAAAAAAGAAAATCCGATTTAAAAAAGTTAGTCTAATTTGTTTCTAACCAGCTGTAAAACAAGATCTTTAAATGTTTGAGAAAACCATGATGTGAAGACACAATGTATTTCACGATGTGAAGACACAAATTATTCATCATGTGAAGACAAATTATTCATGATGTGAAGACAAATTATTCATGATGTGAAGACGCAAATTATTCATGATGTGAAGACAAATTATTCATGATGTGAAGACAAATTATTCATGATGTGAAGACACAAATTATTCATGATGTGAAGACACAAATTATTCATGATATGAAGACGCAAATTATTCATGATGTGAAGACACACATTATTCATGATGTGAAGACGCAAATTATTCATGATGTGAAGACACAAATTCATGATGTGAAGAGCACAAAATAATTCTGTGTGTTTTTAATGTCAAGTTTATGAGATGTTTAACATTTTTTTAATGTTGTTTAACTTCAGGTGAACAAACAACATCACGATTCTAAAAGGCAATCTGGTCAGCTATCTTGCTTGAACCTTGTCTCATCTATTCTTAGCTTAAAAACCCCCCAGAGTGTTGGAAATATAGCACAGAAAGTTGACCCGAAGTGTGAAGTTTCAAAAAGTCCGCAATGATTTATGTCAGAAAAAAAATGTACTTCAATTCTTTATTCCATTTAATCGTAGACGTGTTCAGAGACGGTAAAGAAATGATTGAAACTTAATATATATATGTAACAGCATGACCACTAAACATTTCATTATACAAATGAAATCATCTTCCTCGTACAAGACAATAGCCCTCGTCGAAGGAGATGTAGACAAGAAGAATCATTAGTCTAAAGATAGTCAAATTAAATCATGTCTCACGAACAAACCTATAATAAATTCTATGTGCAATCAAACAATTTAGTCACTATTTGAAGTACTACTAGACCAATATATTTAGATAAAAACCAATGGTGCCCTTCACCCCCTATTACACTTCCCCCCCTCCCGCCTCCCGCACACAAAAAGAACACACAAAAAAGCCACCCCTTTCTCCCTCTATGCCCACTGAGAGGAACTCCGTTGAAATGGCTATTATTTTATTTCCATTGAAATGTCTTCTCTTTCAAGTCATCACATACATAGGATGTCTAAATGTCTGGAAGCATACTTTAACGCATAAATAAAACTAATTATCAAAGTGTAGAGTTCTGGCTTCTTTTTCATTCAATGCAAGTTTGCATTTTTCTTTATCCTCTCCATTGTATATGTCTAGTCTAGTTAAACAAGCTGAGAAAGTTCTGACTATCTACAAAGTATCTACAAGTGATATTATTAGGTTCTAGTCACGTGGTATCCAGATAGGCTGGATGGGCTTCCATTTAGACGCATTACATAAGTAGGCTTATGTTTTTGGAAACTGAAAACAACATAGCAGAGGAAGTGTGTCTCTAGCATTGGTACTACATCGCATGGTTTGGGAAGAGGCCAGTCAAATAGTTTAGTGGATAGAAGCTTCCGTTGTCTCATGATAGACGTCAGGGGCAAGGGTAAATGCACTGATGGTTAGGTAGTGTCTTGTTTTATTGGGCTTGTTTGTGTACAAACGCTGCTGTGATAAAATGTTCATGACCTGTGTTATTTCATTATTTTATTCACTACTTGTATATATATATAAAATGATCATGTTTAACTAGAGACTCTATGACCTTTGGTCTGATTAGTAATAAACAAAGTTCGAAATAGTTGATCTGACTTGTAATTTTAATCTGCTTTTATAATTTATACTTTTCACATTTCTAAAACTGTTAGTATGTTTTGCAGGTAATCAGTGACCAAGAACTCGCATAGGAATTTCGAATGGAAAATTATTTAAAACACATACAAAGCTGGGTATAAAGAAAAATGCATAATATGCTTAACTTGGGCATAGAAGGATTCGAAGGGATACCAAAGATGAACAAATGTACAAGAGATTTCGTTTCAAAGTACCAACATGTAAGTGAACGTGGATGAAGTTGATGATTTAAGCTGGTTCACCCAGGCACAACTGTCATAGAACAGAAACATCTAATTAAAAGTAACATACCACATTAAGGCGCTAATTGCTACATAAGTAAAAGCAGAGTACAACAAAAGCCAGTATCTCTGAGACTCTGTACAGGGCGAAGGAGCAACAGAGTAACAAACTTTCACAAAATGTTAAATTTATACACCTAATTTTCTAGATTTACAATCTCTTAGGTCTTTGACTGATCTACTTACTGCATACTTTAGGCACAGAAACAAGTACGCGATTTTGTATTTATCTGTTAGAATTCAAAGCGTGAATGCATTGGTCAACATGGTAGCAATTAAGAAAAACCTCCAGGGCTTCTTACCTCTCGACCTAACACATTTTAGTCACATGTGTAATTAGTAATTAACGTGCGCGTATCACTGCTCGAGAAATGTGTAATTGTTTACAAGGGAGGCTGATGAATCCGAATTAAAAACGAATTAGAAGGTAGCACTACAAGCTAGGAACTCCTTAAGTTTACATTGATAGAACAGATCATTCTTACTTTGTAGCCAATTAAATGAACACATGCGCATACTACATATAACAAGCTGGCGTAGCTTTTGTAGTGATATGTTGGACTTCAAGGGGCAAATGATTTTTATATTCCATTAAAATGAGCATAGAAGTTTTAATATTAACATTTGGTCAGAGGTTCTTCTCATTATATATTATACCTCCATTTTTCTTGCTCAACCATCTCCAATGTCCGACACAATGACCACCCAATCTGTTCAATTAAACAGATGTATTTCTGACAGCGATCGATGGCCCCCAGCACTATGCAGTGAAAACCTAAACTGACGGGGAAGGAGTGGAATGATATTGAGACTTGCACCTACTGTGGAAGGGGATACAGTCTGGCAGAGAATTGTGTAGAACAAAATTCAATGCCAGGTCTGTTCAGTTCAAGTTATCTTTCAGTGTAATGGCATTGTTTGCGTATGTTTATATTAGTGGTTCCAAAAGTGTTTGATGTAGCACCTGGGGTAGGGGGCGGAGAGATGGGATACTTGTTTTAACTTTTAAACCCCCCCCCCCTCCGCCCAGGCACAGAGAAACAAGGATACGGTGGAAACAAAAGACTGGCTTCTGGCAATGAGATCCACGTGACCTTAAATCAAGATTATGTTTGTAGATTTTTTTTTTTTTTTTTTTTGTAAACGGAGTGAATTAGTCATCTTAGTATTCCGTAAGAATGATTTCGCGTCTTACTGAATGGGTTAGAATAAAAGGAATAAGAAACACGAGTACTAGGTAGGACTTCTTTCAGCCAAGGAAGTCAACAAGTACATTGAAAATACGGAGCGATGGGTTGCAGAGCGCACTTTGGCTAAGACTTGTTGCAGTTGTCACGGAGCGATGGGTTGCAGAGCGCACTTTGGCTAAGACTTGTTGCAGTTGTCACGAAGCGATGGGTGGCAGAGCGCACTTTGGCTAAGACTTGTTGCAGTTGTCACGGAATGGTGGGTTTGCTAGTTACAGATTGTTCAATGATCTCTATACAGAGAGACATTCACTAGAGTGTATTACCCTTTTGAATGCTTTTTACATGTTTCTTTTTTATGTATCTCTTTTGAGGCGTAATAAACCAATAGTAACGCATTAGGTTTCTGAATCGAAGTCTCAAGTCTCACCTCACATAAGTTATGACCATTGTTTTAAAGAGTGGTTTATTAATCATGATTCGGCCACATCATCCGCCATTACAATTAGACGCGGCTTGTTCACAAAGAAAAAAATTTGGATGGAGATAAACAATGGAAAAAAAAAAGTTTCTTAGAATCAAATGTTGAACGAAAGCATGAAACTAACAATGTTCCAACACCTACTAAAACATCTACAAAAAGTTTCAACTTGGTCCGGCATTGGGAAGTGGGAGATAGAACGTGTACAAAGTGTGTACCATTGACTGAATCGATATTAGCGATAGAAGCGTTGCAAAACAAAACAAAAAACAAACAACAACATATTCTCTTAAACCAGAGTGATATCAGATATGTGGAACTCCTACAGTCCTTCGAGATATAAAAAACATCATAGCCAGCAAATGAACATCAAATAATGTGTGACCTACATACAAAACATTGAATTTCCCTGAAGACATCGTTTTTCAACATGTCGTCCACATGTTATACTAATCCGAGCGTTATTTTCTGAGACATGCAAGGTCGTGACGGAACCAGAAGGTCTAAGATGACGACTTTATTTAGAGAAGATAGTAAACTTAACATAAGGTTTGTTCAATAGCTCCCTATCCTCGTCCAGTCCTACGGTCATCCAGTCTGCTAGTGCTACCTTTACTTTAGGTACCAGGTTACACTGCCATTCCTTTATTATTGTCAGTTGCAGAAGAGAACACACAGACATCTTCAGCCTCCTATCACAACGTCACAGGTCAAACATCAGGAAACGTACATACACACCAAGCTGACTTTAATTCATTTAAGAGAATACAATAGGGGGTCACGCTGGGGTCAGAGGTCAGGTGAGTAAAGACGAGACAAAGGAAAAAAGTGAGCAGGTGAACCACGTGCAGACAACCTGCTAACTGCTGTGCCAACGGGCGCCTCCTGCATGTGCGCGCATGCCCTGTGTGATTGACTTTAATTAAAATGTACGCGTGTGAGCAGGTAAATGAGTAGACTGTACTCACCTGGGGTCATATTGCTTGGGTTTGGGCGCTAAGCTAAATGTTGGCAGTCGGAGATCAGCTTCAACTTTGGGAATTTGTTCTGCAAAAAAACACACACAAAAATTAAAGATAAAAGCGAAAGTAGCTTTTCAAACCAAGAATTGTGTACATCCATTCTCAAGTAGGAGATAGAGAAGACTATATATTTCTTTGAACGTAGTAGCGGAGCTTTTCTGTTAGGTCTATTTTTTTATTATTTTTAAATCGGGGGAGGGGGAGTAGCTAACATTCAGTCTATTTGGTTTTCAATGTTTATTTGTGGTTGGTATTTTTTTTTCTTATGTTGTAAACTGCTAATATTATAAAATAATATTAGTTGAGTTTTTATTATCAAGCTGTGTGATAAACACTTCTGATTTATATTATGGAGCATCCAAAACTTTAATGTCAACTAAACTTTCTAATACAATTTAGGAAATGAAACGATCAAAGACAAATTGAAAACTATTGAAACACACAAACTACATGTAGGCACCAAAACGACTAAATACGTAAGTCTGCTAACAGATCTAGCATTAAAACACAATATAAGTAGAAAACAAAAAACAGCTTACAAAATAAAATTCTTAGTTCTAATTTCAGGAGATATTTTAAGATCAGATACATAAAAACGAAGTAAATGTTTCGGAATTTTTTGTTCCTTGGCAAAGATGCACAGATTTCACAAGCAAAACGTATGAACTTAATGAAGACAACGTTACACATTCCAGAATATCTTCCTTAGAGACGACAAGCCAACAGAAAGCAATCTTTAGAGGAGGTTAGCACTGCGGGAAAGATAATGGAGCCTAGGGTTCCCCATCACAGTATACAAGGGTAGGTACTCCTGGCATAAGAGTCACGTCTGCACACCTGTAATGTCCTACAGGAAGATAATCAAGGGCAGCTACCTGTTGGGCTACGATAAGCCAGAAACTGATGCAGACTCTCGTTTATTTAAACAACGGCGGTACCTGAACAGAGTAATTAGTTTACTCTATGGCAAGATGGAAGATGGTAGGATACGCCCATGGGGTGGAGGGGGGATTTCAACAAAGGTGTTAAAATGCAAAGGTTCCAATCGTAGAACTGAAATGACGACGATTACTGAGCTCTAAGTCTTTTTTGTTGTAAATAAAAATTGTAACAATTTTGTAACCAAAATGACCATAAATAATGTGTTAAAAATAGTCCATCTTTATGTTTATTTTCAATTAATTTTTTAGCATGTCAGCTATTTGTAAGAAGTCAAAGGGAAATAAACAGAGAAACGGGACCTGGAAGGATGGGTAGCATACATTTTGGCATGTGCCCTAACCTTAATAAACAAGGCGTTAGGGTCTGCAGTGTTCACCTGTGTCTCATTCACTGGAGGACGTGGCAAATGTAAACTTTTAGTCAGAAACTGTACTGGCGTCAATTAGTCTTGACAGGTGGAGAGAAAGGGAGAACTAGAACTTTCAAGACCTCTGAGATTTCAAGACTGTACATCTCATTGCAGAAATGTACAACTCAACGAGTCTATTGGATTTTCCAGAATCAGATTGAAGCATGAGAATGTAAGAGCTTTTAATTTGACCATTTGTAAACTAAGACGTTCTTTGTGACAACTGTGATACACGTTAGTATGTGGAGTGTGCAGCACTTCATGTAGGCAGCACTAGCGGATCCAGAACTTTGGAGTGGGGGGGGGCGATTTTTTTCCAAACCCTAACCCTATGCATAAACATGCGTACAGCACACACACACACATACATATATATAACCCTAACCCTAACCTAAAAGCAGCATTTCTCAACCATTGGCGAAAAACAAAACAACTGGAGCAGCGCTATAAGGTTCTCTTGTAGAGTTCCGGGCGAAGCACCGACGCCAAAAGCGTTTTCTTGCTTTTTTTACTGCAAAAACGTATTCTCCCGACATCTACAGCTCATTATTCATGAATGGAGTTCGGGTTCGCCCCGACGCCAAAAGCGTTTTCTTGCATTTTTCATTGCAGAAACGCATTCTCTTGA